ACTCGGTAGTTTCTACTCATGGGTAGCTGGGCAGGAGAACACCTGCCCAAGGAAGATGATGAAAGAGTCGAGGGGGAACGCAGCAAACATTCAGACATTCAGGGGGAAATACTACTTCAGCGCCTGGCTTGTGACAACGCGACACGTCGACTTGCCTTGCCATTTTGTTCGATGATGCAAATGCAATATGCCCACGCATTTTTCCGGCATGTTCGAATGCGTTCTCACCGAGAACTAACCAAATCATTCGAACGTCGTTTCCTAGCTGTGTAGAATAGTGACTTGGATACCTCGCAGAGAGCTGTGATCCATCATCCATCTGGCGGTCAGACCAGTCACCACGACATGATACGCCTAGCTCGAAGAATCTTTTTTGGGACCAGAGCAGTGTCCGAGTCGGTGGCTTTCGCATGTGCGATGATTTACCAAAGGTCGTGTTAAGCATGGTGAGATGTTGCTGTCTGGCGAGTCTCGCTGGAGATTCGATTGTTCGGAAGCAATCGACTGATCATTATGAAGCAGGACCAAGCGACCACGAGACTGTTTGCTTCACATAAGTAAGCATGCACCAACTTATACTGATAGTCCGTCTTGTAAGCAATCGTGCATCCAGATCTGCTCGTCAACGACTAGCAGATAGACCACCAGACTCGTACAGCTCAACACAGAGAACGTGTTGTGGAACGAAATGCTCCGCGGTTGGAGGAGTGTACAATGTCAGACGTTGTCGGTGTACAAGTTGGTCGACCGTCAGCGCTTAACAGTCTCCTCGTGATGGTTGCATTCATTTGTAGAGTCGACTACTTCATTTCTGGGGTTACTGGGATAAGGAGTCCCTAGACGACAATAATGGTAATCTTGTCAAAGAAGAAGCCTGTGGGTGGCCTGTGTCCTTGTTTATTAACTGAGACCTTGATATTCAGGGTGAAGTCCAAAACAGGATTAGTGGATAACTGCCTAAAAGGGACGGAGCCGCAAAATCCTTTCCCCGGTCTCCCTGAATCTGCCATTTTCCGTGAATTCTTTCCTCATACTGGCTCCATCCATGGACAGAGGTAATTGTTCCCAAAGCCGTCATCTACTGTCAGGCATATCTCCCAAACACCAGAGATACCTCAAGCATTATGACCTGGTCCGATTAGCACGGGTCTATTATTCGCAGCTGCCTGATACCAAGGCGCAGTCCTGTGACGATCTCGAGCCCAAACCCTTTTTGCACAGCCTCACCGAACCCCCCGACCCAACGACATAAACTTCCTATGACGCTCTCAGTGGCTGTTAAACATCTCCTTAGTGCTTTCGTCTATGCATGTATACTGTTCAGTTGCTTTGCACTTACTACATAGGGTCGCTTCTTGCGATGGCCTTGCTGGCGTGGCTCAAGGGCTATGGAAGGACGGTTGTAACACTCTCCAGGCCCTCCATCTTTCGGTATGGGGACGTGTAAATGTATAAAATTGCCTGGAAATCCCGCAGTTTGAGTAAGTGTCTATCACAGACCTTGACCATCATAATTACCGGGTGTATTTTCGCAGAAAAGGAACACAGTAAAGGCTTGACAAAACTGTGATAAGGAATTTAAACCCTGTTACTTGCCTCCAAACTTGATCCACAAACGTCCTCTCCATCATGGGCTTGATCAAGACTGCCATCATTGCCGGCGTGGGCATCTATGCCGTGAAGAAGATGTCCAAATCGAACGAGAATCGTCGCACGAATCCTGCACCGGGCCCCACACAAGACCGGGGCTTCCATCAACAATACTTCGATGAACCTCCATACTACTCCCCCGGTGGCCCATATCAGGATGACAAACGGGCCTATCATCAACAACAGCATCCGCCGCCGCAGGAAAACTTCGTGCCGTTGGAGTTCACCGAGCCGCGCGGAGGTAGACGCCGGCAACAGCAGCAGCAGGAAGATCGCCACCCTAAGGTCCTGACGACGAGTAACAGCGCCTACTCACCCTTGCCGCACGGCTACAACCACCAGGACCACGATGGACACGTCTACGGGTATGATGCGACCGCACAAAACGCGTCAGAATCTACTTCGAATCTGTACGCGTACCCCAACAACGCACCGCCTCCACACTACGACAATGGGCGACAGCGGCGCCAGCAACAACAACACCACGGCTTTGTCGAGCCTGACGAAGTTTCTGACCCGACCTTTGACGCGCCGAGGAGAGGCGAAAATGGAAAGAGGACAGGATTTCTCGACACGTTGGCGCACCAGGCCATGAGTATCAAGGATGGCAGAGGTAAGGATCTCGTCGGGAAATTGCTCGCTAGGTGATAAGGCACGCAGCACACAGCACTCAGGTATGCAGGGTGGGAGTCCATAGCAGTCAGATGAATCGGGGGAACACGGCGAAAATATAGGTATTGTTAGCTGATAGGGATACTGGATGGCGGGCTGGTGATTTTTGCACTCTGCTCAAGTTCCACGTGAAAATTGCATCTAGCAGTGTTTTGTTGCAGGAGAGCCTTTGTGATCACACTTCTCAAGTCCCAAGAATTGGAATTTTTCAGGATTTTTTGTAAGAATCACTTCCAGATAACCCCAAATTTAGTTGATACTCTCTCTTATAGGCCTTTATATTTAGCTAGCTAGCTGGCTGACTAGGCCTCTTGCCCCAAAACTTGAAGACACCCACCCTTTCTGACCCGGTCACATCTCGCACAGAGATTCAAAAGGACTAATTGACGCCCCAGATGCCCAGCGGGTCCTCCTTTGTCCCGTGACCGCCACCATGTCGTGCCCTTTCCACTTGCAGCCTCTTGACCCTTTTCGCCAGGAAGCCCAGGGCTAGCGGGCCGGCGATGGTGCAGAGAAGAATCGCCCACGTGACGATCAAGTATAGGTCCGAGACAAGACCGTCGTCTCCATCCACGGCCGCGGCATTGTCGTTGTCGTTGCCGTCGCCGCTGCCGGTCGTTTGCCTGCTTGTAAAGATGCCGTTGGTTGCGGCGAGCGCGGAGATCAGGAATCCAATCTCGCCTCGAGCGACCATTGCGCAGCCGAGGATCGACGCTGGATAGAGAGACTTTGGCCGGGGGAGGGACCTGCGCGTTAGGATAACCTGTTTCTTCCCTTGCTGCTTATCCTTGCGGGTTTTGTTGGTTATCGAAGAGTGCGACGTCGGCGGCGGCGGTGGCGAAGAGTTGAAGAAGCGAACCAGCCACATGCCACAGAAGAGCTTGCCGATAGCCATGAACAACGCATAAACTAGCCCGCGCCAGATGACAGGGCCGCGAAACATCTTGGTGATTGGGATGGAAAAGCCGATAGAGGCCTGGGGAAAAGGCATGAGCATGAGCGGCCTGTAGAAGGAGGAAACACGTGCAGAAAAGTGGAGGACAGAGTAAAACTTACGAAGAAAAATGGCTTCAGGACCCGCTCCACCGCAGGTGCATAGTAGTGGTTGTACATCCGGAGGCCACGGCTCTCCACGTCGAGAGCGTCAGGGATATCGGCCGCTCCTGAATCTTGATTGACAGTCGTTACCGATCTTGGATTCTCTGGAGGCGGCGTAGGCTCACCGGATAGCCTCAACAGCGGCGACAGAGGGGGCTGATGGTCTTGGGATATCTCTTCCTTTGAATCTGGGACCTCACTAGCAGATTGAGACGCCTCGGATCGTTCTGATGTGATATTGGAGGACAGATTGACTGCATGGTTTTGAAGTTTTGTTCTCTCCGAATGTTTCCTTTGGGATCGAGTCTCTGTGGTCTGTAGACTAGCTTCATCCAGCCAAGATATGGTAGCTCCTGCTAGATAGGCGGCGAATAGATTTGATGTCCCAGCATAGCTTGCCGCGGTGACCAAGGCGGCTAAAAATGCCGTTGACAAGAGGAAGAATATCTTCATCTCTTGATCCAGTGCCGTCAGAGCGAGTTTCTCTCTCACCTTGACAAATAGCCCGAAGACGTGAGGTAAAGCTGGCTTCACCAAAAACTTGCAGGTTATGGGAATGACGATGGCGAAGCCAAGGGACACAAAAACCGGGCGTATGACTGTGGTCGCTGAAATAGAGCTACGACCGGAGCCCAAATTGGCTATGACTTGAACCATGATCAGCCCGACAACATCGTCCAACATTGCGGCACTGGTGAGGATCGTGCCCAGACGGCTCGTGGTCAGGCGCGTCGTCTTCAAAAGGCTAAAGGTGGTGCCTAGGCTTGTTGAGCACAGCGCCGCTCCGGCTGCAAAGGCTTGTAAGTTGGTCGCATGGGAAATTCCCGTCAGAGAGAAAGAGAGGGCCATTGGCAGACATATGCCGGTGAGGGCCACGCAGATAGACAGTAACAGGGAGCTCCCAAGAGACTTAGCCGAAGTTGCCAGTCCGCCCTCGAAGACAATCGCGATCAAGCCCAGGTAACCAAGCTGAGTGGCCGCATCCTCGAATTCACGAGACAACATCTTCGAGCCGGGTGTTCCCCAAGCCATTCCAACCAGGACTTGGCCCACAAGACCGCAGTAGAAAACATGATCCAGTGCAGTGCCTAGAACATTCAAGGCCAGAAAGAAAGACGACTGGACTAGGATTGTAATGATTCCAGGCTCATGGTATGGGAGGGCGGCGTCCGCCATGGTGAGCAGACAGAAGTGAGATTACCGAGAAGTCAAGACGAGACTCCATGCCACTTGGAAGCAGATCGGTAGGAAGGATCCTCACGGCACTTTTACGGTTGATGAGGGGATGCAGAATGCGGATGGTCCAGGTCATGCAACTAGGGGAGTAGGCAACTCGATGTCTTTCGAGGCTGGCGATGAAAACCTGACGAGGCTGAGGCCCAAAGAGGAATATTTGCCGAGCTCCATAACAATTTGGCTTTTGATTCTCAGTCGCAAAGCCTCAAACGAAAGAACGTGCAGGTGGACTTTTGTAGGTTTTTTGTCACAGCAAGAGAGTGGTCGTGAAGTAAATCTCAGGTGATATTCGAGACCTATCTCTCGAAGCATCACTATTGTGTGTTGAAGCAGCCTCGGCCACCATGCTGTGCGCAAGTAGGTTCTTTCGTCCGTCTTGCGCATGTTCGCGACTAATGCCATGACAGTCTCGGGAGAAGCGGCGCAGGTTCCTGTGGCCTCGCGCAAAAGTGGTGCGTACAAGATACATGTGTTTCCCTCCAAGTATCACGGGTCTGACAGTCGCAGGCAATGTCTACGAAAAGCGCCTGATTGAAGCATATATCAGCGAAAATGGGACCGAACCCACCACCGGCGAGAGCCTGACCGTCGAAGACCTTATCGATCTCAAAAGTCCCAATGTCGTCTATCCACGACCTCCGCAGATGACTTCCATACCTGCGATGCTCTCCTTCTTCCAGAATGAATGGGATGCTTTGGCACTTCAGACCTACACGTTGCAACAGAATCTTCACCAAGCTCGACAGGAGCTCAGTACTGCCTTGTACGAAAATGATGCAGCGGTGCGAGTCATTGCACAGCTCACGAGAGAGAGAGATGAGGCACGAGCAACACTGGCACAAATAAACATTACTAGAGGGGCTTCTGCCAGCACAAATGGCGATGCAATGCAAGTGGACAGCGCTCCATTACCGCAAGCGATCGTGGAGAAGATTGAAAACACACAATCAAGGTATGTCTGCCTTCTGTCCATGCTGTCCAGGAACTGATGAATCTTCCCAGTTTGTCCAAGACCCGGCGAAAACGACCAGTGCCCGAAGAATGGGCCACTTCGGACTCAATATCGACATACACATCGAGATCAACCTCCAAACCATTGTTTCCTGGTGGCCGCGTGCTTGCAGTACACGAGACGGGAGCCCTGGCCCTGGCCGCAGGCAGCAAAGCTGGAGTCTACTCACTATCGGAGGACACGTTATCATACCCGCTCGACTTTGGCGAGGGAGAAGCCACAAGCGGTCTCTGGGCTCACGACAGGGCCGTCGTTGCAACCTCAGCGGGCGCAGTTAAGGTCTTCGAGGGACAGCAGGAAGTCTCGTCCTTCTCAGTCCACGCCGGACGGACCAATGCGGTGGCTCTGCATCCCAGTGGCACCATTCTGGCTTCTGTCGGAGAGGACAGGACATATATTCTCTATGACCTTGAATCCAGTCGGGTTCTCACTCAGGTTTCGAGCAACTCCAGTATGTCCCCTCGCAATTCCCCCTCGCTCTTACTCGGCTGCGTGCTTACTTGATTCAGGTCTTCGCTGTGCTCAATTCCACCCTGACGGCCATTTATTGGCGGCCGGTGGTGCCGACGGCCAAATTAAGATATTCGACGTCAAGTCTGGTGCGGAAGCTGCTACGTTCGACCTTGGCGGCCCTGTGCGATGCATTTTCTTCTCGGAGAATGGTATCTGGCTGGCGGGTGTGACGGAGAAGTCATCGACCATCTCGATCTGGGACCTGAGAAAAGCGACCGAAATCACAACTATCGAGACGGGCAGCCAGATTGAATCCATCAGCTGGGACTACACTGGACAGTTCTTGGGAGTGGCTGGGCAAGATGGAGTTACGGTCGAACACTACTCCAAGGCGTCAAAAGAATGGACCGAAATCCTGAAGCGAGGCACCCCAGCGACACGGATTGCATGGGGCAAACATGCTCAGAGTCTTCTCACTCTCAATGAAGACGGTGCGATTACCACCCTGGCAGCGGCGACGGAGGGATGAACGGTTCTGCGCCATTTGTATACTGTCATGGACGGATGGAAAGCAGCGTTGATACCCATAACTGATGTGAGCTGCAGACAGCGGCACCTGCGCGGGTTTCCTGGTTATGTTGCTGCGATTTGAAGGGAAAAAAGAAATAGGCAAAGAAAAGACCAGTGTCACACCAAAATGGAATGCAAGTTGCGTCGACAGATGGCGTCTTTATCATCTGGCGATGATATGTACAAACAAATACAACGGACCCAGCCAGTGCCAGCTTGTAGGGCTTGTCGGTGGTGTTAGTGGTGGTGATATTCTCTTATTACAGGCGCAGGCGGATTTATCAGCGGCCTTAAGAGCCTCGAAAGGTTCTTTGCGGCAGTGGCAAATGATCTGCGAAAACCCCTCGAAGCGCAGAAGGAAACCAAACAACAATTCATCAGAGCCACCAGAAACCACCAAACCATTAGAACAAAGAGAGCGCAGGTGGCCATTTTCAAGGCTGGCATTTGCCCCTCTTCTCACTTCTTCCTCAGTCTTCCCCTTTTGTTAATCATCCCCCTTGCCTATCTGTCAAGTCGCGCTCGCCTGTCATACCGGCATCCATCCCGGTGTCAACTTCTGGTCGGCCCATTGTTTCCACTTCACTGGCTCTTGGTTAGCGAGGGTTTTTCCGTTGGTGCCCAGACGACAATCCCAAATCGTACCTCACTTCATCTCCTTGCCTCCTCAACAACTGCGTCCTGACCTTCTCAAACAACTTGCCCTTATGACATTGTCGATTCGAGGACCATAGCCTGCCTTCACAGGTGTCTTGATCATGCCTCCTGCAGGCACTCTCGCTCTGAGCAACTTCCTGAATTCGGCATCGGCCTCATCCAGTCGAAAGGTAGGATCTCGATTCCCACTCTCGCTCTCTCAGAATGTCATCCACTTTCAAACATGCACACATATGATTAAGTAGTACAATCACCATCTAACCGCAGTCACAGAGATCTCATGCAGAAATAACCCGATCACAAAGTCGAAGTGCTACCCCCGACCAGGTGCCCTCCAAGCGCCGCCGCATCAACTATCGTCCAACACCTGAGCCTTCTCGGGACTCGACACCACAACACTCAGAAGGAAGAATACGGTTTCAAGGCGACGGTTTCGACTACCGGACGCCGGCCATGTCCACACAGGCCCCCAGAGAAACTGCAGCCCCTGCCCCTCCCGATTTCACGATCGATCTCACAGCGGAAAGTGACAGTGATGACATTTCCACTGCCTCGGAATCCTCTCCACATCAACTCTCGAGGCAAGCGTCTAGTCAGCCCTCCCAAAGACCATCGCGACAACTGCTCGTCAGCGCATGGATGACACTAGCACAGTCACAACAGATAGCTCAACAGCAGCGGGAATTCGCGCGAGTAAGAGAAGCCACCGCACGGAATCGAGGCGAAAGTACACGAAGGCAACGACAGCATGAACCTCATGTACAGAGACGCCCAGAACCTGCACAGAGGCAACAGGAACTTGCAGAGCCGGACCGAGAACTATCCACCCGTGCCCCCCCTTTTGGCCCAAGAGCACAGGATGTACCACACGAGATAATTAATCTTTCAGACACGGACGAGTCGGATTTTGAAACAGATGACTTTGACATACCGGTGGACACGGAAACGCTCGACACCGACTCGGTCGCCTCCCTTTCTCCAAGTCAAAGTCCAGAAGTCGAATTTGTTGAAGAGAGGCGTGTGCCCCAACGCCAACGTCAGGAGGCTGCAGTCCAGACTAATGTCGGGACTTACCCCCCTCGGCCTCGCTTGGAAAGAGGTCCACTGGGATTATCTCTAGACATCCTGAGGAGGGGAACACAATTTATGTTTGGGAACGTGCAGCACGTCGCCCCTGGCTACGGTGATGGGTTCCTGGATCGCCTGGACGGAGTTCCGCCTCGTGGTCATGATGGACGGTTTGGGAACGACGGTGTGGATGATACTATCGTCATCAACATGGATTACAGACAACCCGGGTTTCCTCTTGATTTCGATGTCTTTGATCGCAGCTCTGAAACACCTCAAGAAGTGCCCGAGCCTTATAAAGGGCCCCCAACTGCCAAAGAAGGGTTTATCAGGACTTTCGGAGAGGAGGATGTCATCCTGTGTCCCATGTGCGGTGACGAACTGGCGGTTGGGAAAGGAGATGTTAAAAAGCAGGTCTGGGTTGTGAAAAACTGTGGACATGTAAGTGGCTTTGAAATCGCCCCGGATGTTTTATTGTCCTAACGAATCTTTTAGGTCTACTGTGGCGAATGTGCCGTCAACCGATCCAAGTCGAAAGCATCAAAGAAAGGCAAAGGCAAAGAGCCCGAAAAGAAGCTGGAATCAACCAGATCGGTTCCGTTTACCGTCTGCAGTGTCGACGGCTGCAACACCAAGGTTGTTAGCAAGGCTGCCATGTTTCCTATCTATCTCTGAGCCCACACCAAGGATTGGTTTGATCATCCAGGCCACTTGATTGCAGATGCAGTCAGACATCGATCCAGCCAACGAAGAAATGAACCTTTTTAATTCAGGGATCGGGGAGTCATATTTGTTAAGGGGGATTTCGCGCTCACGATGGAGGATGATGCATAGATATTCCAGTCGAATCAGCCGCAGCACGCTTCTGATGCTGTTGAACTCAGTTGTAACTATTGTACACATATTGCAGATCGAGTGATGTCAAGTAGCCAACGTTCCAAAGCATCGTCGCAGGTTCTTCGACCACGGAATCATAATTCGTTTGAGCAGAAAGCAGCTTGACTACAAGTAGACACACGTTTGTGTTCGAGCTTCTTCCAGGGACATGGGCGTTGTCGTGCCAATTGCGGCGAGCGGTATGCGTATAACTTGGCCGGATCTCACCCACAGAGGTCTCAAAACGTCTTTCGGGTGCCCGGTATGGAGTCGAGCTTTTGGAACGTCACGACGGGCTTCAAGGTGTCGCCAGGTTCAGAACGGTCTCGTCGCTCGACCAAGAGACAGGCTTGTTTGGCTTCGTCGACGATTGATTGCCCACTGGTCAGGGGACCGAATGTATGGAGGCCGGGGAGCCTTCCAGCCGCTTTGCCAATGTAATAAATGGGGTTCCCTCTTCATTTCCCTGGATTCACACGCTGGCCCCAAGGGTGCGTGATCTCACGCTCGAATGCGTCCGCTTGTGCCCAACCGCTGAGAACCCGACCCTTCCGTCCCTTTCACACCTTACAAGGAGACTCCAGAGAGGGGTGTCGAAGTCCTATTTCCCACCGAGATCTCACGACGTGTGCCGCCCCTCTTTCAAGCCCCTCGGAAGGGACCTGCCCAAAAAATCTTCAGAGCTCAAAGAAGCCTCGATTGTCCCAAGTCCCAAAGCACGAGCATGGTCCAAAAAGGGGGCTCAAATCTTCTTGATCCCCCCGTGCATGGGACTCCACATGCCCCTGACGCCCTCGTTGGAGCTGACGACCTTTTTGCCTTTGACTAAGACGTTCTTGTCGCCCGAGTTGCCGAGTAGGAACTCGGCCTTTTCCAGGACCTGTTCGCGGGCCATGTTCTTCACGCAGATGGCCTTGGACCGCCCGTTGCAGTACTGCGCCTTGATGACCGGGTGGCGGTTTGGGCGCGGCGAGATCCTGAATTCGACGCTAGGGTACCGGTGCGTGAGCGACGAGAAGGCCGGCGACGCGAGCAGCGACTTGAGCCCCGTCGACGAGGCCCAGTGGTCCGAGTACGTCAGGTGTAGCCGCGTGCATTGCAGGATGTAGGCGCCTAGGCCGTTCTGTATGTGTGCGCATGTATCAGTGAAACGGACTCCATGGTCATTGGAGAAGTATGAAATGCTCGTTGCCCAACGGAATATGAAATGATAGACTGCTTATCCTTTCCCTCCTCTTCTTCTATTTAACAAAAAGGAGGGCTAGAAACCAGGGAATATCATGATGGACTGGGAACAACTGGGCGTGAGGAAAACTGCGTGACAAAAAAGAAACTTACCCGTGCCGTCGACACCGTCTTGAGCCCTTGCACACCCATGGCTTGAGATGCAAGGATTGTGAGCCGCTTCCCTCCAGAATTTATCCGTAGATGGGGGTGAGTACAAAGAATCCGGGTGATGGTAGAGCTTCGCGGTTTGGAAAAGCTGGAGAAAGCTGCGCCCAGATGAATTTCGCGAAACGGCGAACGGAGCAGCTACGCGAGGCTTTGTCGCTAACCTTATTAGGAGAAGCTCAGCCTTGACGGCCTCGTGGCCAATGAAGGAATGCATGACGAGCACTTAACCCTCTTGTGCATAGACAGACACAAGGTAGAGTCATGGGATGAATAGCGGATGCGATATTAGTCCAAGTGTTCGCATTAGATGTTTCGATTATGTGATTACTCTGTGTCAAAGACACCGGGGAGTGGTGCGTTGACCTCTTCGTGCACGGAGCATTCCATCCCACTAATCGTGCCCAAGTACCAGCATCCCAACCATGGTGCCCAATCCTTCTTCGAGCCGTCTCGAGCCGTCTTGATCTTATCTCAAGAGGAGGACCAAATCTCCCTCCCCGGAATAAGCTGCGACATCTCATGAAGTCCGACAAATCCTCCCTGGAGACTCGCCCACCGCGCCCTCGACACCAACGTCACTGACGACCTCCCAACCGTCCTTGTGACCCACGCAGGGCACGCACCAAAAGACACCCTTGGGGTCCCAGTGCCTCTTCAACTGCAGCAGCCTCGGGTAGTTTGATCCCCAAAAGGTCTTTTGCCAGTTCGGTTCCGTCGGGTCTGCTTCGTTGACGTACGCTCCTGTGTTAGGCGCCAGTTCGCGGAGGGCCTCGGCCTCGACCTCGCGGAGGTGTGTGGTCGTAGCGACCTTTGCCGTCTCATTGAGGAACGCCCATGATCGTGGGAGTACGATATGTGTGTATGCGTCGCGCCACGCGGGCAGGACCGAGTTACTCCCTCCGGGGATCCCGTTCTTGACGGTCTTCACACCCTTGCCTGCCACGACGTGGCCCAGAATCGAATACTGCGGGTTAGAGGTCGTCTGCTCGAAGAGCTTTTTCAGCTTTGCCGGGTCGGTCTTGAGGGCGGCCTTGTCCAACAGGCGAGACCCTAGCCGGACTTCTGATCCAACACTCTGGGCAGCGCCGTAGGTGAGCCAGAATTTGGTAAAGTCCTCAACGGGTACGGCTATGCTCTCCACAAACACCGTGTCCGTCCAGTTGTATGTGTTGTTCCGAAGACGCTCTTCCAAAGGCGTCAAGATCTGCTGGGTTTCTTCGACAGTCTTGTTCGGAACGAACCAGAAGCCGACAACCGAGCCCATTCGGATCGGGACAGGCTGTGCGGCGCTGTTGTTGGGCACGATAAAGTAGTAGCCCATGACACCGGCGTCTGAGAGTTCGGGTAGCTGGTTGTGGAAGTATGCCACTAGAGACCAGAATGTGTCACTATTTGCAGTGGTGTTGTAGCTGAACGAATAAACTGCCGTCGGTAGCACAGGATATGCGCGGACCGTGACGGACAGGAGGACTGCGAAAGTAGAACCGCCGCCCTAAAAAAGTACATTGAGAGTCAGATCTTCCGTTGGTCAACCATATGAACCAGCAACAAAAACTTACTCCCCGCATCGCCCAGAAGAGGTCAGGGTAGGAATCCTCGTTAATAGTCAGGTGTGTGCCGTTGGCGGTGACAACCTCCATCTCAAGGACTTGGTCCGCCCCAAGGCCGTAGACGGCGCTGATCGGGGAATGTCCACCTCCAGTAACCCAGCCACCAATGCCCACGTTGGGATCTGCGCCACCAACTAAGGTGAGATTGTATGAGGAAACCGCTTGGTAGATTTCGCCAAAGCGCATGCCCGCGGCAATCTTGACCGAAGCAATCCCGCCATACCGTTTGGCTCGAAGATCCCCCATCGTGATATTGATGCCACGGATGTTATGTGTCCAGACTGAGAGAGAGCTTCGGCCAGATGATCTGTTCATAATGTCAGCGTTTTGAGGCCACCATGGACGTGTCATCAGGGCGTGTACCGTCCCAGAAAGTCATGGCCGGTTCCTTTGACGATGAGCCTAACCCCAGTCTTGTAAGCGAATTGGCAGGCAGCTTGGACGTCGGCCGTGTTGGTAGCGTTGACGACATAAGCTGGGAGAGGGGCAGTGGAACATGGTGCGCGAGGGTCAGGAAGGCAAGAGTCGTCGTTGTAATTGGTTGTGAAGGGGTCTTCAGCATGAAAGGAAGAATTGGTCCACTGTGCAAGCAATTGACCACAGGCCTGTGCGCTGTACGACGAACTGTTGGTTTGACAGACCAGTCCTGGGGGCACTGGCGCGATGAGGCGACCCGAGATAGACTCGTTCAGAGCGTGCCAGTCAGAGATTGACGGCCATCCTGGGGAACCTACAATAGGCTTGCAGTATTGCTGCGGGGTTGCTTGAAGCGTGCCAGCAAGGAAGAGAATGTAGCAGAGCGTAAGGCGAAAGCTGTAAATCATCCTGCTCGAATGCTTAATGATGAGAAGTGCGACAAAAGAGAAGACACTGAGTTACTCCACGGGGACGACGGTCAGGAAATGGCTTTTGTACAGAGTCCCCTCGACTGCCATCTCTGCTCAACAGCTTTAAAAGCAGTTGCCTGGAGGGCATGCGAATCTTCTGTGACGGAGCCCAGTGATCATTTGTCGATGCACCTAGGATAGTTGAACTCAGCTGTCGAGTTAATCTCGATCAGGATGATTCTGCGACAAATAGCAGCACCTCATCCCTCATGACAAGATGTTCTTGGACGATATTTTTGGGAGTTTTCTCTATGCGATGTCTGCCAAGGTTCGCAAGGCGATCTGCAGGGCTTTTTTCATTATTTTGCTGTGGAGAAGAGTCTATAAATATTGAGGAGAGGGAAGTGAGGTTGGATCAATGTCCTGGATACGAATACGTTTTCCCTTTTCCCTTTTCCCTCGTATGTCGAGAAAGCGAAGACGAGGTGGGGCACCAGTGGCAACTGTGGCACACACCCTTCATTTTGTCACGTGATGGTGGCGGTGCAATTATCTGCATTCGTCAAGCAAGCAGGTGGTTACCTGCTCTATTGACAGTCCAACAACTCTCCATCATCGCTGTTAGAGATGTTTTACATATACCTTGGATGTCTTGCGCTGGTATGCAATCCTTGTAAATACCGAATTAGTGCTCAGAATCGCATCTGGCGGCGGAACATCGGACTATCATACCAGAGCTTGCACCAATATCAAAACACCTCAGATAGTAGGAAGTGATGCACCATATACTGCAGTATGGAAAATATGTGGTTGTCCCGCCTCAACAGAGCAGTGGAGTGAGGCTGCAGAATATTGAAAGGGCACTAAGCCGTTCTTGGGTTTAGCCAGCATCTTCCCCTTGGGCAGTGGTCGGAATCTCGACACGAGGACTTTCCATTTCCATCTCTGGACCTGACCGTGGCCCTGAGCCTCGGCGCTTCAACTTGAGATACTCCGCACGTGACTGAGCACATTGGAGTGGGGCCTGAGCAACGGATCAGTCGCGCCCACATCTAGGCTGTGGCCCGGTTTCCGGCACCCGCCTATAGTTACCAATTTAGCGCCTCGGCCTAGCCTACAGTATAACACCTTGTCCACCGATTCGAGCTGACGTCATGGGCACAAAAGTTCCCTTTCTCCAAATTTGGTTAGTCTGGGGCTAGCTTCGCCATCATCCTGCATTTCCGCATCCCCACGAGGACAGCGAGTCCAAGTGCTTCATTTCTCAGGCATATTAGCACTTGTGAGCTGTTATTTTAACGGTAAGGTAGGTTCAGGTAGACAGGGTTGACGAAGAGCCCACAACCTAGCTTTCTATTACTTTTTTGACAAGGGCGGTGTGAGGGTTTGGAAAGAGTGCTGCAACTAGCTAGCCAACCTAGCAACAAGGAGGATAAATCTGAGGAGAGAAGAAGAAGGAATAACGTCCTCTCTCTCTCCTTATATCGTACGAGTCTCTGTAAGGGATACCCATTGTATTTCCCTTTCTCCCTTTTCCTTCCTCTTTCGTACATGTCCTGCATTTCCCCTTACACCTTTTCTTTCTTCCTTACTTTCCCTTACGTACAGTGTCTCAGTTGCCAGGATCCTGTATCCCTTGCACCGTCCGCGTCTCGTCCAATCAGGAGGCGGCGTTAGTCCTAACGGTAGTCTTGGCGCTGGTTTGCCAGAACCAAGCCTTCTCCTGGGTTCAACCCATCACAGTTATAGATATTAGATCTAGAGGTAAAGAGAGGTCTGTAATAACGTTGTGGAAAGGCTATGTGAAGAGATTACGACGAAAATTTGTTTTTCTGACTGACAGATGGTCGTGCGATCGGTGTTTCTTATATCTAAACTGCAAAATTTGTAGATCGCATCAAGTAAACGACATCCCGGCGTGGTCAAATGCCCTGCGTTGCTGAAATAAGCACCAAGTACTCCGAGCATCGACAACGCGCACCCACCACTTTGGACGCGGATTGAGTATGCGAGCGTACTCCCGTGTTAAAAAGTGATCATGTTATGATCATCATTGCTTTTGTTCATTAATACCGTGACATGACATTCTCAAGGCCCCGGTTTACATTGGCCACGAGAAAGTTCCCAAATCGGTCCATCTCCCGGGAGGGTACTGATTCCCATCGACTTGACATTTAAGATATTGAAGACAATGTTCCAGCTTATATACACTTTAGAATAGATAATCAATTCAGCAACTCAAGCTGTTCATCGTCTGTGCTGCGGTTTCGCGTGGGCGAACACCCCCGTCAGGTACTTCGGTGCAGATTGACAAATAGCCGATTACAATACCGGAAAACTGATAACATACACGCGACAAGGACAGCAAGTAGCTCAGCCACCGCCACGATGCTCGCACCATTGCCGCCTCGACCACACTAACTTGCACGTGAGAAGCTGCATCGAAGAGCGGCTGCGTAGTTCAGCCACGTCTGCGTCTAGCTTGAACAGACTCAGATACCGCTGCCACTCAGCCTGACCCTGAAAAGGCAACATTTTCACTTCGAATTCAATTGTTGAGTTTTTCTCGCGTCTCTAAGCGGTATTATAACTTCTTCGTTTCACGCTTGCCATCTCACCATGTCCCTAGCGACCCCGGGTAGTAAGCGCAGCCGTCTCCGACAGTTGCTCTCCTTCCGTAGTTCCACTTCCCCGAGCAAACCAAACTCCCTAGCAGCATCCCCAGCAGCATCCCCAGCAGCATCCCCAGCTCCTGCCACGCAGTCTAACGCTTCGGGAACGTCGACTGCGACGCAGCAAGATTTCCAAACCCGAGTTTTCCTTCTTCTCTCCCGGCAGGACCAAGACACCATTCAACAACACAGCGTGACGAAAACGACCGATGTGGATGCACTCTTACGGCAAGCCCTCGCGGCGACGAAGGAGAAGCAGACGACATGCCAGGCGACAAGATGGACTTGGACATTTCGCGGACATACTGTCACCTTACAAGAAGAGGCAGACAATGTTATAAAATGGTTAGATCGCTTTAAGCAGGTGGGAGATGTTGCCTCCAACGTCGATCCTGTGCATGTGGGACTTCCGTGGGCAGGCATTCGTCTTCTTTTGGAGGTAAGTGTTGTAGATCTTGTGGAAGCCGTTACATATACGGCGTAAGTGGAAATAGACTTCAGGCTGACTGCGTTTAGGCCGCAATTTCCGCGCAAAGCCAGATGGCGGCTCTCCTCCTTGGTCTCGAAACAGCACTCTACCTCTCGACCCGTCTCCAAGTGTACATGGCGTATTTGACCACTCTTCCGGCTAGTCAGGCTCGTACCGATTTGGAAACCTGCTTGGTCGAGTTTTATGCGTTGATATTACAATTTCTCGCAGGCGCGGTTCGCATCTATCAAAGAGGCAGTATCACACGTGCGTTTGACGCATTCTGGCGAATCGAAGATGTGTCGACCTTTGAGAATGCCTGCAATAAAATGGCCAGCCGTGCCGAGATCGAGGCGAGCAACTGTGATCGAGAATTGAACGCTACTGCCCGAGCAGCGGTGAAGCGGCAACAAGAAGATCTCCGGCAAGTCTTGAAGCAGTTAGAAGCCATACATCTTATACGGACTGGCATCGATAGACTAGAGGCTAAATTCGACCTCAGCAAGCTCCCGGTGGCAACGGGGGCCGCTTTCAACTCTCACAAAAGCGAACGCGATGCTCGATGTCACCCAGACACTCGGGTAGACTTACTCCGAGGGATCTATGACTGGGCCGATGACATCGATGGAAAATGCATTTTTTGGTTGAGAGGTTCGGCAGGGATGGGTAAGTCGACGATATGTCGCACGGTCGCCAAGGCGTTTGCCGACAAAGGGCGGCTGGGCGCCAGTTTCTTCTTCAAGCGAGGCGAGCAAGATCGTGAGAATGCGAGTCTCTTCTTCACCACTATTGCGGTCGACTTAGTCGGCCAGATACCGGAATTAGCAACCCCCATTCACCAGGCGATCGATAAGGACCCCGGGATCGCCCGCGAAACTTTGAGGGAACAGTTCGAAAAGCTTATCTATCAGCCTTTGGCCGGCCTTGGTCCTACCTCGTCTACAAGACCAATCTTAGTTCTCGATGCGCTGGACGAGTGTGACCGAGAAGGAGATATACGCACTATTCTCTCTCTCCTGGCTAGTTTACGGCGACTCAGTTCAGTCCAGATACGAGTCTTTCTGACCAGTCGACCGGACCTACCGATCAATCTCGGTTTTGCACAAATCGGCACTGAAACCCATCGCGATGTCGCTCTTCACGATATTCCACCTTCCACGATCCGCAATGACATCTCCATCTACCTGGAAAGTGAATTCCAACGGATTCGCGATGAGCATAACTGTCTTTGGCCAAAAGATCAAGCACTGGCTCCCCACTGGCCAGGCAGGCAGACTCTAGAGTCCTTAATTCAACTGTCCGTTCCACTTTTCATTGTGGCTGCCACGATTTCCCGCTACATTGGTGACCTTCACGGGGACCCCCACGACCGACTGGCGACGTTTCTCGTTCAGCTCAACACCGGGAAAATGACCCAAATGGAGCAAACGTATCTTCCGGCGCTCCGGCAGATATTAGTCGACGTCGAGGAGCCCAAAGAAAAGGATAAGCTTTGTCACGATTTCCGTGAAATTGTGGGTTCGATCATTCTCTTGGCCAATCCCTTGTCCACGATTTCCCTCTCCCAATTACTCCAGATTCCTAGACGGAAAATTGATCAACAGCTACGACTTCTTCACTCGGTGCTGTCTGTGCCTCCCAACCCTGATACGCCGGTTACGTTGTTCCACCTCTCCTTCCGGGAATTCCTCGTGAAAGAAAGCAACTCTGATCAAGCACGACTATTTGCGATTGATGAGTCCTGCGCGCATAAAAAACTGAGCGATAAATGCCTTGCATTACTTCAGAGTTCTGACGGTCTTCGAAAGGATATCTGCCAACTACAGCACCCTGGCGTCTTACGGGAAGACATCGACGAGACCACCGTCACCGAACACATTCCGCCTTCTCTCCGATATGCCTGCCGCTACTGGGTCTACCACCTCCAGCACAGCGGACAAAAGATCCGTGACGATGATGTCGCTGCCAATTTCCTACGGAAGCACTTTCTACATTGGCTCGAATCGTTGAGCCTTCTGGGGAGCATCTACGAGAGCGTTAACTTCGTCGTCACATTACAATCGCTGGTGGCAGAAGAGAACAGCCAAATATCGGCCTTTATACAAGATGCGCGACGGTTTGTGCTAACATTCAATCCTATTCTTGCGCAAGCGCCGTTACAGGCGTATGCTAGTGCTTGGCATTTTAGCCCACTCGCCAGCATTGTCCGCAACGATTTCCAGGATCAAGCATTACAAAGTGTCCGAGTGATAAGAGAAATCCCAGAGCGGTGGAGTGCATGCTTACTAATTTATGAGGGCCACTCCAGCTGGGTCAGCAGCGTGGTCTTCTCGCCTGACGGGTCGCGCGTCGCCTCTAGCTCCGACGACAACACCGTACGACTGTGGGATGTACAGACGGGTGCGTGCGAGCAGACACTCGAGGGTCACTCCGGCACGGTCTACAGCGTGGTCTTCTCGCCTGACGGGTCACGCGTCGCCTCTGGCTCTAGCGATAACACTGTACGACTGTGGGATGTACAGACGGGTGCGTGCGAGCAGACACTCGAGGGCCACTCCAGCTCGGTCAATAGCGTAGTCTTCTCGCCTGACGGGTCACGCGTCGCCTCTGGCTCTAACGACAACACCGTACGACTGTGGGATGTACAGACGGGTGCGTGCGAGCAGACACTCGAGGGCCACTCTAACTGGGTCAGTAGCGTGGTCTTCTCGCCTGACGGGTCACGCGTCGCCTCTGGCTCCAGCGATAACACTGTACGACTGTGGGATGTACAGACGGGTGCGTGCGAGCAGACACTCGAGGGCCACTCCAGATCGGTCAGTAGCGTGGTCTTCTCGCCTGACGGGTCACGCGTCGCCTCTGGCTCTAACGACAACACTGTACGACTGTGGGATGTACAGACGGGTGCGTGCGAGCAGACACTCGAGGGCCACTCTAACTCGGTCAGTAGCGTGGTCTTCTCGCCTGACGGGTCACGCGTTGCCTCTAGCTCCTACGATAATACGGTTCGGATGTGGGATGTTACTACTGGAGCTGAGTTACTATGCTACAATTCTCACACCTACGACAACTATATCAAATTTATTGACAATGGCTCAAATATTCTAGCTAATGGTGAAGTCATCAATATTCCGCAACAGTTACCACGACCTACTGTTACAACAACGCAATCACCTAACTTTAACTTACCATCCGGTAGTGAATTCGGAGTCACTGGTGACTGGATTACATGGAGCTCACAGAGAGTATTATGGCTACCACCTGAATATCGTCCTACATCTTGGCGAGGCCAAAGCGATATTATTGTCATCGGGAGCGGAAATGGTCATGTTACTATTGTGCGTTGGACTGTGTAGCCATCCTCCGATCAAAGAATATCCTAATAATTTTTTATGATAATTTCACGAACGAGAGGTCCGGAGAATTTCTTTCTTATATACTGTATAATAGCAAGATATCTAGAAGTTTCTCCCCAAGTTCTTTATCTAGTGCAACGTAGTAAGTGGCAGATTCCATCACGTAGTTAGGGCTGGACGATTCGGATATAAGCCACGGAATCTGAACGACACTGAAGCCGCAAGATTGTTGAAGTCTGTATCTGTGGCTAATGATGCCTGCAGGGGATTGTCATTACCTGAATGGAACGCTTAGACGTTCAATCTCGAAGTATCTCGTTGGAAAACCAAGAGAGATGTAGGATCTGTACCTGGAACGCAGTATACTACGCCCGAGTGCGTACATACACAACAACGGAGCAATCACCTTTTTACATGCTGTACGGCGTGCATCCAAGGTTGATATCAAACGACGTCGGGCCAATGCCAGAGACAGGTACTGTACGGGAGGATCCTGGCCCAATGATGGAAACAATCAGGGTAGAGGCGAACCGACTGACAGAACTGAGAGATAAACAAAATCAACGATACTTCAATCGAGAGCGTGTACGGCCAGTAACATTCAGTGAAGGAGACTGGGTCCTCGTCTGAAGGGGCAACCCAAAGCAATGGGAGGCAGATCCTGGGGCCCGTACAAAGTAAACAGAGTGGCATAGGCAAACACGTACGAGTTGAGAAAGCCAAACGGCCACCTAGTGGACCACTTGATCCATGGCGATCGACTGCATAGGGCTCGAGTGGACGGCGCAGTCACAAGAGGGTAGAACATGTCAGGAAGAGCTGTACGGCGCGATCATGGGAGTGAGAATAACCCAGATCGTCCTAAAAGTACGGAGGAGTTCCAAGACATACCAGATGACTTTGATGGAGACTCACGAGGAGAATTTTAAGCGTACGCATTCACGCGGCGCAGACATTCATTTAAATTTCTTTTGTACATGATCTGTTTTGTTTCGCCAGATGGCTACTTATCTTCATCGCCACGTAGAGGCACAGACCGTGATGAAGTGCCGGGAACAACCCTCACCAGCTGGGCCGTACAAGGTGTAAGGGTAACAGAACGCACAACGAGGACGAAGGAGACGATGACTTACTCAAGCGAGAACAATTGCATTCTGGGCCGAAGCCCCCGCTGGCACGATTGCCAGGTCGTCGTCGTCGTCACCCTCGTCCGAGTCCGATAGCTCAATTATCCGAGGTCCGTTTTTCTCGTGCAGTGTACAACGCGAGGCTGCGTCACCCCATTTGCAGTTGCCACACGCGCCTCCAAAGTGTCCTGGTATACGACGACACTCTGGAAAGATAACGGCTGCACGGCCGTTCCTACATCGAGCGCAGGAAGGTACGGCTAACATTCCTCTCGACTGAATCAAGAGGGCATTAATGTAGGACGGACGGTGGGAGACAATTTGTTGCGCACGGATTCGACCCCGTACGAACTCAATGTCCCGACCAGGCAGGGACAGCACTGCTAATTGCAGTGTATTGTGAGCGAAGGTGGAGAGCTGCTGCCCCCCAACTTGTAACATCGGCCGGATATTTTGGGCCAGCGCGACGGCACGAAGCTGCGCTTCGGCCACGGCTGGATCCCACCGGACGAGGGCGAGGTTGTTGGTGTTATTGTTGTTATTACTACTCTTTCTTTAGCTTCTCTCGTACAATAGGGACGAACGGACGTGGAAAGATGTGGGACTCACTTGTTGGCCATTTCGACTGCCTCAGTGTCAGTTCAGGCCCACTCATCGTACACGGATCAGTAAACTTACCAGGGCAAGGACAAAACAAACGAATCTGGTTGGATGATCTAGCGAGGTCGGTAATTCAGCAAATCAACGCCTTGGCCTTGTACGTACGGTGTGGTGGCGGCGGTGGTGGTTGGTCAAAAGTGAGTTAAGTGGAGGACAGGATTGTGGCTTTGTACGGGGGACTGTAGGCTATTCTCTTTTTAGGTGGTCTTAGCGTGGTAATCACCGGGCGGACTAATTAAGTCGGGTATGGGCACCTCGACATCTAAGCGGGCAGCTGGCGGGGAGGGTGCACTAGCGCTGGCTAGCACGTGACCATCACGTGATCTGTACACTTAGATAGCTTCCAGTTGGCCCCTGTCAACTGACACAATCAGGAATCCCTTGGTCCTCGTTCGACACCTACACTGTACCTATGCCAAAAATGGAAAGGAGAAATCGTACTAGGAGCCAGATTAGAGGATGTGAAAAGAGTTAGCAAAGATCAAGTCACTCGACTAAAAAGAGAGGAAAGTACGGAGAGGAGGGGGGAATCGACGACAGAGCAGGCAGAAACCCAACGAGACATTAGAAGGGGCAGGGGGACTATTTCTGGGAACCCTCCCTCGCGCCGGAGGCACAAGGGACGTCGTGCGAGGACCATCACGTTCATGAAAACCGGCTCGTTCTCGCAGGGTCGAGGAGATAACGTACCGTGGTGCGTCTCCAGGGAACCCCCCTAGAGCCTCGTTTTAGGGCCCTCGTTAAAACTTGACTGTCTGGAGGAGGGACGACTTTTAGGCCCCTGGCCCGATGTAGTCAGTAAGGTGAGCTGACCCAGCCGAGCCTGAGCCGACATTGAGCCGGACGCGAACCAGCCTGAGTAAAAGCGGCGTAAGGTCACGTGGGATAGAAGGGAGACGGGTGTCGGGATTCCAGTCGTGCAACAACAATTTCATTTTCCGCATCGAACGCGCTGTGAATCCAGCTATCTTTAACCCTGTGTCTACACATCCTTCGCCTCCTTCACCACTGCCTCTGTAGTTTTACTCAAGACTGGCGCATTCGTGCTCTTTTTTCTTCTTTTCCTTTGCGTATTGATGACTCTCGTGCATCCCTCCGAAAAACCTTCTCCCGGCGTTGCACCAAGATGACGGACAAACTGCCTCCCAATCTCCTTGCTCTATTCCAACCCCGACCTCCCCTCCGCTACATCCCTCCTCAAGACTCGGCCCCAGAAGAGAAAGCTCTCAAGCAATCTCAGCTATCTGGAATAGCCGCATTTCTTCCGCAGCTGGAGGAGTACAAGGCGACCGATGTGTACGAAGCTACCGAGTCATGGCTGCAGCAGCGCGATCGCAAGAGACTCGAGAAGAAACTGCGCCAGCAAGAGATCGAACAGCCCGACTTTCAAGGCTACAGACCAAATGAAGATCCAAAGATCAAGGGCGACGCCGTCAAGACTCTGTTCGTCGGCCGCTTGAGCTATGATGCGAAAGAAGCAGACCTGGAGCGTGAGTTCGGCAGGTTTGGTCCCATCGAAAGAATCAGGATCGTCAAGGATGAGACAACCCCCAAACCCAAGAAGCCGCATAGAGGGTATGCTTTCATTGTCTATGAAAGAGAAAAGGATATGAGAGGTACTTTCTTCTACGCAAACCCTTCTGCCCTTGACCCTTCTTTTCACACCAAATATTCAATGGTAAGATGTGCTGGAACTGACCTCGAGATCCCTTACAATTTTACAGCTGCCTACAAAGAAACAGATGGTCTCCGCATCAAAGACCGGAGAGTCGTGGTCGATGTTGAACGTGGCCGCATGGTCCCGGGTTGGAGACCGAGGAGATTTGGCGGCGGTCTTGGTGGACGAGGATATACCAAGCAAGTCCCTGCAAAGCCTACATTCGGACCGCCAGGTGGGTATGGTGGCGGGTTCAGAGGTGGCTTTGGCGGTCGTGGTGGCTTCCGCGGTGGTTTCCGCGGCGACCGAGGGGGCTTCGGTGGTCGAGGTGGCATTGGGTACCAAGGAGGGGGAGGCTTTGGCGGACGACAAGGCTACCAGAATGGACCTCCGCCCCCCAATGCGCCCAGCGGACCCGGTGGGAGAGGTGGCTATGGCGGAGGCTATGACGACCGACGCAATGGATATGGTGGTGGAAGGGACCAACGCGGCGCAACCGGCAGCAACACCGATCCGCTCGGAGGACGAGATCGTGGGTATGACAATCGAGACAGAGATCGTGACCGCGACCGTGACCGAGATCGAGACCGTGACCGAGACCGCGATCGCGACCGAGAACGTGATCGATACGGAAGCAGCAGGCGAGAAGACGACTATGGCTCGAGAAAACGACACCACGAGAACGACGGGTATGACGATCCCAGACAACGCAGAAGGTATTGAGCCTCGTCGTCCCGTGATTTGTATTATGCGCAACCTTTCTATCACCTTGTGGCTGGTCGTGGGTGGGTATCATAATGCTCTGCACTCTCAAACAATCTATGGAGTTTCGGTCAGCTTCTTGTCCCTTTGTGTGCGCACGGCCACGGTAAGGAGGCACTTGTTACTCGGGTCTTGCAAGGTCTTGCATATCTCCATCCTCGGTCAGATGAGGAGCAAGCAAAACTGCTACTCGATCGACATGGTCAAGTCTCCGCAATCTGTCAGCCGCTGATGCTTCAAAACGTGGTCGACTGTGTCGTCAAAGCCAAAGTGAGAACCCTGGAACTATTGGATCCGAAATCTGGGGCGAACCCAGCAGGATCAACGAGGCGTAATGCAGTTCGTTTCCTTGATGAGGGCGGATGTCCTCCGTCAGGAACTTGTTTTATCACCAGCATTCCTCCTGGCTGTGGTCAGGTCGGGTAAGGGAGACCTTGTTGTAATATAGCGCTTGTGAAACACATAGCAGCAGGGAAGGCTCAAAGTTGGTTGAGCTCAGCTTTCATCTGTGGGTAGGGTAAATCCAGGTTCTAGAAGTCTGTTGCTCGGTAATGAAGAGATGATTTTCCTCTTGTAAAGTCGGTGGACATCCGCAGCACAGTCGCACCATTGCCCACGACGCCCAGGAAGGAGTCTACCCACCAACTGCCCAGACGTCGTATTGTATCTGCTTTGGTAAAGGGATGAGACAATAACAAGGGCGCAATTCCCAGCCAAGCCCCCTCGCATCGTCATTGCCGCCACTGGGACGTGCCGTTTTGCTAAAGGCCCTCGACACCTTGCTCCACGCTCCTCCGACTGGCCCACAGACGCCACCCAGACGCTTTCCCCCTAAGTGCTTAGTTAAGCAGAATTTTTACAGACACCGTCAGAGAAATTTTCATGCCTGTGACTGGCCAGGGGCGGGCATGACAAACTGAAATCCTCTAAAAGCAGGTTCACACGCGCCTTTGGTCTTGTTGACACATGGATTTCCGCTAACGACAACCGCACACGCCCTGGGTCACTCGTGTTTTCCAAGGGCGTATTCAACGTTGATCATGATTGGTGATGGGGCGTGATCTTTGACACTGTTCTGATCTCCCAGACGACTTGTTGGGTTTTTTTGTCGAGACCAAGACCGTGGTTGCGTGGGTAGATGATGAAATCCCCCCCATGGGTGGCCCGTAACCCTCTATTACGGGAGGTGAGTCGTTGAGAAATTTTGCTGTGGTGAGGGTGTCGAATGCTACCTATATAAACCCCGTGTGTCGACTGCTCGAAAGTGGGTGATTCAATCTCTAGTAAGAGGAATTGAAAGAATAGACATACATACACACACATATCTATTCAACCTAACTATATACCACATCAATCTACATCCACCTAACTACATAAAGACATTCCACATACACCAATCAATATGCTTTACGCAGGATACTACAACCTCACCCAAGCTGAGAAGAACAGCTCGGCAACATCATCTCGTCGTGTCTCCCAAGAATCCAACGCCAGCAAGTCCTCAAAGACATCGCAAAGGATCAAGTCCACCATCAAGAACGCCCTTGATCAACTTCGACCAACTACCGAGACGTTGACCCCGGCGGGTATCTACTCGCCAGTCATTCAGAAAGGCACGCTCTTTGGGCGCAAGCACGCACCGGCCGAGGTCAGAGACGAGACGTCAAAGGCATAGATGCCACCAAAAAAAAAAGCAACGAATCTCCTCAGTTCTATAATTCTACGGCAAACAACATGGCCACTTTCATGATTGGAGTTATTGCGGTGCGGTGGTTGGCTGGCTGCACGGTGACTTTGCGTTTTTGCGAAAGGAAATGGAAGGAAATGGCGCAGTATACGTGACAGCCTGAGCAGAACAGGCACCCCGGATGGCGAAGATGGATACATACAGCATACACTTAATGACCAACGTGTTTTCTTGCTCTTTGTATTCCCTGCGTACTACTCAAAAATTTGGGTCTTTCTCTCTAGTCGATGACGTCGGAAGCATGTGAAAAGCCACATTGGCATTGAGGTCTTCAATGATTCGCGGGTATTTGGGCACGTCGTAGGATTTCTGTTTGAAGTCGGACGAGGGGATGGTGCACTTTGCATTGCAGTACTGTGGCTGACTCTGATGTCGATGAGCCTCGGTCAAAGCGAGGAATTGTTCGGACGACATCTGTACGAGTATTATTCTGCAAAGAATGAATGCGAGGCTGCAGGGGTAGATGTTGTAGTGGTAGGAAAGTATCGGATTGAGCATGTAAGCGGTTGGCTCTCCTCGAGTTCCGGGGGCATCCACATCGGCGGCACCAGCCTAACAGCGTCCGCCCATATGTGTTCCTTGTACCCGTACGAAGCCTACGCGGCGCTGCGCCAATAGTCGTGCCAGGCTCACCCAACATGCGCTAAACCACCCGCACAGCGGCACGCTGCGTTTGCAGCTTCCTCAACTCGTGCACTTCCGCCCAAAACTCCATGTTGACCACCTTCACACCACTACCAATTGCCCATCCCACCTGCGACTTGCTCGCTCATTGACACTGGGTCACACGCCACATACTTGGGACGACTTCCTCGTCTTGATTGCTCCTGCCTGCACGCGAGACTCTTGTGCTTGAAACTGCAACTGCAGGTCACGCAGTGACGCACAGTGCCTGTTGCTGCAGCATTCCCTGCGTCAGCGAATCCGAGCCGAGTTTCTGAAGCTTTCCTCATCTTACCATAACAGATATCGGGAGCCTCGCCAGCATCGTTCGAAGACTGCATCACAATCGGCATCAGCATGACCATCAGATGAGCCTTTCACATCCAACCTCTCCATCACCCAGCTGCAACATCAGCACACATTCCTGCCCAGTCGCGATTCCCTTATCCAACAGAACCACTCTCGATTAATTCGTACCCCTCGGGGTCCACGCCTCGAGATGGGCAACGTACTATCGGCTTGCTGTAAGAACTGCCAAGGTCTGTCTCCGCTGCATCCTTCGAACATGTCCGGACACTGACTGACCTCTGCCCTCACAGGTCGGAATAAGGATAACCTCTACGAACCCGCCCTCGCAGACAGCGAACGAGAAGCCGTTGCGGACCTGCTACAATACCTCGAGAATGTACGTTCACAGGATCCACTTCGTTGTAAAGAGTTGAACTCTGACAGACCACAGCGAGGAGAGACAGATTTCTTTTCTGGAGAACCGTTACGAGCATTGAGCACTCTTGTCTATTCGGACAATGTTGACCTACAACGGAGCGCTAGCCTGACATTTGCCGAGATCACGGAGCGAGGTATGTTTACAAGGGATGCGCAACGCGAAACAAAACTAACTGCTTTTGCAGATGTGAGAGAGGTTGACCGAGACACCCTCGAACCTATCCTCTTTCTCCTGCAGAATCCCGATATTGAGGTACAACGAGCTGCCAGTGCAGCTTTGGGCAACCTGGCTGTGAATCGTACGGTCCCCCCAACGGGCCCCGTGGAATACCTGGAGCTGACCTGTTACAGCCGAAAACAAGGTCGCTATCGTCCAGCTCGGCGGATTACCTCCCCTTATTCGGCAGATGATGTCTAATAATGTCGAGGTCCAGTGTAATGCTGTTGGGTGCATTACAAATCTGGCGACGTATGAAGATAACAAGGCCAAAATTGCAAGGTCAGGGGCTCTAGGTCCATTAACGAGACTGGCAAAGTCGAAAGATATGCGAGTCCAGAGGAATGCAACTGGCGCGTTGCTCAACATGACACATTCTGGTATGGTGGAAATCAAGTCGTATCACAGTCCACATCATGCTAATGATAACCAGAGGACAATAGACAACAGCTCGTCAATGCAGGAGCCATCCCAGTGCTCGTCCAACTGCTTCAGTCGCCTGATATGGATGTCCAATATTACTGCACTACGGCTCTCAGCAACATCGCTGTTGACGCGTCCAACAGAAAGAAACTCGCCCAGACCGAACCACGCCTTGTCCAATCACTGGTCCAGCTGATGGATTCAGGAACGCCCAAAGTTCAGTGCCAGGCGGCATTGGCTCTGCGAAACTTGGCATCAGATGAAAAGTACCAATTGGAGATTGTTCGAGCTAGAGGCTTACACCCACTCCTTCGTCTCCTTCAATCTTCATACCTCCCCCTCATCCTCTCCGCTGTCGCTTGTATCCGCAATATTTCGATTCACCCTCTCAATGAATCGCCCATCATCGATGCCGGCTTTCTCAAACCTCTGGTCGACCTACTGGGATCTACCGAGAACGAGGAGATTCAATGCCATGCTATATCGACTTTACGGAACCTTGCTGCAAGCTCGGATCGGAACAAGCAGCTCGTCTTGGAGGCCGGAGCCGTGCAGAAATGTAAGGAGCTTGTTCTGCATGTGCCATTGAGCGTACAGTCTGAGATGACTGCCTGTATCGCCGTGTTGGCATTGAGCGACGAACTCAAAACACATCTGCTCAACATGGGAGTCTTCGATGTCTTGATTCCTCTGACGGATTCGGAAAGCATCGAGGTTCAAGGGAACAGTGCCGCCGCCCTAGGAAATCTGTCTTCGAAGGTTGGCGATTATTCGATTTTCGTTCGCGATTGGACCGAGCCAAACGGTGGCATCCACGGTTATCTCAAGCGTTTCTTGTGCAGTGGTGATCCCACATTTCAACACATTGCAATTTGGACGTTGCTGCAGCTTCTGGAATCCGATGACACGAAGCTAGTCAGCTTGGTGGCCAAATCGGAGGACATTATTCAGATGGTCAAGACGATCGCTGACAAGCACGTTGAGTCTGACGACGAGGAAGGCGAAGAGGGCGAGGGCGAGGTGATTGCTCTTGCTCAAAGATCTTTGGAATTGCTTGGTAAAGGGCCCAAGCAGACGTTGGTGGAAGGTTGAAAGCGAGCGGCGGTGGAGGTTTTCTTTGTTCAAGACCTCTTGATATTATCATATACCCCTTTTACATGGAGTTGCAACGAAAAGGGCCGTCACTGGGTATGGGCACACAAAGTTGTGCCTCGCAGTGTGCAGGGAGCATAGCGAGGCGTTGAGGGGTCTATTTGTCACTGCTTGCCGGAGAAAGAGAATAAGGGGGCTTCTGATGGGAAAGGGAATGCTGTTGGTATTGCGACGGCGATACCTTTTATTTTATTTTTTTGATGGGAGATTCTGCTGCAGGACTTTCGTTGTTTGTCCTTATGGAAGCAGGAACAGACGAAAGCGAAGCGAAAGCAAAGCACGGGCAGGTTAACGCCATTTCATTCTAGCCTCAATGCATTAATTGTACACCTTTGGCACTGATGGGCTCGATAAGGACATGTCTGATTTTCTCCAGGGCACTTCATATTGATAGGCAATTGTGATCCATGCGAGGTAGATGTCACCTCCCCTCTGATATTCTTTCCGAAAACACACCCAAAAGCATGATATGGTATGATATGATATCAAAAGGATGGCGGACCTGGATGATGGGAGGAGATTCTGTTGAATTTGATATTCCTCCCGTGACGAACACAGCCTGACATTGACCCTTTTTTTTTGAAAAGGGGGGCGTCGTGACCATGGATACTGGAGAGGTATTGTAGTGTACTGCACTGGAATGTACTGTACTGTACTGTAGAAAAAGGGGGAAGGGAAAGGGAAGAATTGGGGGGGGGGGAAGGGGCCATGGGTATGGGTATGGGTGAGGTGGAGTCCACCACGACGCATGACAGGTCAGACAGGGCAGGCTCTGAAGAAGACGACGGAGATTTGCTGCATATTTGCCTGGAGAAGGCATGTATGGGAAGGTGATTTTGTTTTGTTTTTGTTTGTTTGTTTGTTTGTTTTTTTAAAAAAAAAAAGGGGTTTTCACGCATTTCACAGTTGGGCTCCCTTATTCGCTCACTCGCCCTCGCCCTCGCCCTCTTGCTTTGCTCGCAGGGCACACATGCATAGGATAACAGTGAAGAGCGTGGAGAGGTGTGCTTGAAGTCGAAGATGGATTGATTGCAAGGATAATTCGACCTTGAGGCCGCACCTATGGTATGGTATGGTATGGTTGAGGTCGAGTTGTTGTTGGAGTTGGAGTTCGAGCCATCGTCCGGGTGTCAAGCGCCATGGTTGGACGAAACGGTATTTCCCTCGCACTATGTCGTCTGGTCACAGTTGACTTCGCATTTCCATCTCGCTCTCGTTCGATACAATGGCTCGGATTCTGTGCTAGCCAGGCCGGGGTAGAGCGAAGAGAAGAGAGGCCGAATGGCCTACCTGACGTCTCGAGTCTTGTCTCTCGCGCTACCCTATCTGCCATTTAACGGTCCTGAGGCTGGCTTTTGTTGGCCGTGGATGGCCCAGCGCGTTTTAATATTCAGAGTCTCGTCAGTGCTCCGCAGCCTCTGTCTCTGGAGGTGGAGCGAGACAATGCCCTGAAAAGGCGGGCTGAGAGATGTGCCTTTGAGTACACGATCTGAGGCTTCATATGTTTTTTTGTGCTGCAAGCGCTGTTTATAGAAATACGCGCTTCCATCCTCATCTGATCTCAGAAAGGGAGCCAGCATTGTGCTCTGATACAGCCGACGACGCCCGAGAGTCCTTGCCATTGCCTGGGTACCGTGCCCCAGCAGCACATTGTTGGGGATTGAAGCATTTACCGGAAAACCCGGTCAGGCGACATTGTGTGGGCTGCGTAGGAGAAATGGGATCATGTCACTTGGAGGAGGTAGTATCCGAGGTGAAGTCGACTTTCACGAAGGTTTGGCGACTTTTCGGCTTTCACCCTTCCCCGTCACGGCATCCTTCATCTCCTTCCAACTTGCGGGAACCATGGCGTTGCCCGCCTCACTCGTGGCCACCACGACGCCAAACTCATTCCCCGCCGTGCTGATGTAGTAGTTCCTCTCGTCGCCCAAGCTGATCACAGTGGCGCGGATGATGTCGCCGACGCGGTACATGTCGTTGATTACGATCTTGTCCTTTTCGTGCGTCCGGATGTCCTCGCGCCGGAGAATGCACTGGAATTGGAGGTCGTCGTCGGTGAGTTGGGAGTAAGAGATGATGTCGCTGGCGGATATCGCTGGAGATGGAGAAGACGGGTCGATGATGGCCAGGATGGATGCTGAGAGTTCTCGTTGGCGAACCCTGGTCACACGGCACAGGACCGACGAGCCGACTTTGGGGAGTGAGTTGATGGACGCAACGGCGGTCGCTTGACGGGGTACCGAGATGGTCGGCTTGCCCGACTTATTCGGTGCTGGAGTAACAACTGACGTGCCAAGGATGGAGGCGAGGATGTTGTTCTCGTAGACGTGGGTGCCTGAACCAGGAATGTGTGAAGATGTACTGGCCAGAACCTGGCCCGGGACAACGAGTGAGGCAGCCATGGATCGTGGGGTGGGCTCGAGACGGATCAGAAGCTGAAGCCGGCCCTCTCTTCAAGCGTGAGAAGAGTTAAAGAAAGCAAAGAAGCACCTGACTATCACACGGACCAACCAGTCATGGCATTTGTTTTTCGAACGCCCGAAGTGAGAGGTAGCAGAGGCCAGAGCCCGAGTCTTCCACGTGCATTTGGGGGAAGTGGACGGTTGTAGCACACAGGACAAACATGAAGCGAAGAAATTGAGACAGACAGAAAATTGATATGGAATTTGGAGGCACGTGATACGAGTTCAACCGTCAGCCATAAGTCTTGGCAATCAATGTGGCCATGCTTAGTCATTCCCCCTTTTCACCTCTTCCACGCTGAGGCACTGAACTGTGCGACGTATTCAATGGGATAGACATCATTATCGACACTGCCGTGTCTACCCCACGAAGCTTGCTTGCTTGCTTGCTATCTAGCTAGCTAGCTGAAATTCGCACTCCACATCCCATCACGCGTTCGGCCTCGTATACAGCCTCCCGACGACCCCACCAACCTGCTCAAGTCGTTTCAGACTTTCCGGTACGGTCGAAAACGGGACTTCGGTCAGCTTGGGGACGATCTTACCCGCGGCGATCAACTTCAGGATCTCGAGGTATTCGGGCAGGGTCGCCCCTTTCGAGCCACGTATGGTCAGGCCGCGAAGCAACAATGTGAGAGAGGAGAACTCGAAGCTCGCCACGCCGATCCCGACCAAAACCACCGTTCCGGAGAGCTTGACTCTCTGCATCGCCTCTTGGGTCGTGACTCCCATGCCGGCATAGTCCACCACGACGTCAATAACGACGTCTTCAGGGATGTCTGAGAGCTTCGAGAAGCATGCCTTGGCGCCTTGTGCCAGGCCCTCGGGGAACTTGTTCTCGTCAATGTCTACTCCGTAGACGGTGGCTCCTTGAAGAGCGGCGACCCGAACTCCGTTGAGGCCGAGCCCGCCCATCCCGACGATTGCCACGGTTGTCGACGCCGTCACCTCTCCTTCGGAGATGACAGCGTGGTATGCCGTTGCGATCGAGTCGGTTGCCACAGCCGCCTGGGCGAAGCTGACCGCGTCGGGAAGCCGTACGAGGACGTTCGCAGGGACCACGACCTGCTCTGCGTATCCGCCATCTCTACCAATCCCAATGATGTGACTCGAGTCCCCGTCGTCGGTCGGATAGACAGCCACGCCAACCCGGTCGCCCACTTTCCACCCTGTCACCCCTGAGCCAATCCCGGCGACCGTTCCTGCGGCTTCATGACCCAGTGTTATGGGCCGTTTGTTCGTCCACGAAGCTCCTTTGCCATGTAGGACATGAGTGTCGGAGTGGCAGAGACCTGCCGCCTCCACCCGGACGACTACTTCACCTGATTCAGGCTTGGGCGTGGGCACATCCTTCAGAACGAGGCCTTCCTCCACGTTGTCGAATTGAAATGCTTTCATGACTGCTAAGTGATTCCTCGAAGACCGCACGCCGACAAGAGCACAGCGATGCGATGAATGAGAGTCGGCGCGGATAGACATGGGGGTGTGGTCAACTGGACTGTTAAACAGCCACGACTCCCGGACGCGGCCGTCCCTCAGGCCGAGTGGTTACTACTCGGAGGTTCCCCAAGGTTATGTGGACTACCGAGCGTTACCATTCTTTAATCCGAGATTGTAAGGGAGAAGGTGTTCTTTATTATTGGTGCTGTTTTCAGAGTCATAACCCCACGGCGCTGCTCGGATGCAAGTTTGTCACATGTACTCGATAAGTACAGTATGTAGGAAGGAGAGTCTCTTGGCAAGGCTGTCCTGATCCGGTGAGTCGGTATCCGGTCCACATCCCCCCTGCTTTTCCATCGCGTATCTGCTTCCTTGTGTTTTTGGTGATCATATAGTAGCCTTGGACTCAGATTGACACTGTTTCTGATTCTGTTGATCCCGCATGCTTCGCATAAATAGACCCAACACTCGAGAAGTAGAGCAAGGCTGCTTGAGTAAGTAAATTCCCCTTAGTGCTGTATGGGGAAAAAAAAGGAATAAGTAGAGGAGAAAAGAGAAGTGAAAACAGGAGGAGAAAAGAAAAGAAGTGAAAACAGGAGGAGAAAAGAAAAGAAGAAAAACGCCAGGTAGATTTGTCCTGTGAGCCGTACGAGGGAAACCCTGACACCACCTAACAATCTGGACGTCAATTCACCACCAAAGTCCTGGCAAGTCCAGTCCAGTCAATACCCAGTAGTATGTGGATAGTCGAAGACTACTCCGGCCGTCGCCCAAAGACCACATAACTTCTCACGGTTAGTTCCCCTCTAGACACGAGAAGACAGAGAATTGGACGAGAAAGGCTTGCCTAGTACTCACAAATGATAGTAGCTGTGGATAGCACGGTTCTTGACGTCCTTGCGCACTTGCAACAGAAAGGCTTCGACCTCGGCGGCTGTCCAGTGCAGACACCGGGTGAAGAGCTTGATGGTCAATCCCTGGATGCCCTCCGTCATGTTGACCGTCTCGAACAGGCCCACCTCCTTGAGTCGCTGATCTTTGGCCCACGGCCCGACAGGAAGTTTGAGAATGTGCTCTTGCACATCGACGAAGCCTGCTTCTTCCATGAGCCGTTTCAGGTGCTGAGGCGAGCGAGCGTCCGTGCCGAATTCGATACCTAATGGATCTGTGCGTGAGAACGAAGTGTGTGAATCAAGAAAATCAAAGAATCTTCTGTCGACGTACTGGCTTCGAAGAATTTGGCACCCCATTGATACAGAGCTGAATCTTTTGGTAGAGACCCATCGTCGCTAAGGAGGTATGGGTGTTTTTCGTGCCATTCAACCCAGCCACCAGGCTTGACGAATCTATATACGCATATCAGCGTGGTTAGTAGAGATGTACGGCAAGGGGCGATTCGTACTGGTAGCATTGGCGAATTAGCTTCGGCCAGTCTCGAATTGCGCAGACAAAATTGCGGTTGTGGATATAGTCAAAGCTGGCTTCGTTCCACGTCCACTCGGCCTCTGCGTCATCGATCTCAAAGCTGCAGTTCGGAGGGACCCAGTCAGGTTGGATGGCACTCAGATCGGTGCCGGTGACGACGGCGGAGGGGAACATGTCGGCAAACTCAATCGCCCAGATGCCCGTGCCTGTTCCGAGATCCAGCACTCTGGCCGGGTTGGGATCGATGGGGGCCCAGAACAGTCGGTCGCCCAGCAGATGGGTCTGCATGGCATGTTGCATGTCCAATCTCTCCGCCTCGGCGTCGTCATTTGGGAAAGCATATTCTGCGTGCAATCAGTCAATTATGCTCGTCGTGTCACTTCCACTTAAACTTGGCGTGGCGGTGACATACGGGATCGGCCATACGAATGGTATCGTCGACCATATTCCCAGACTCCTCGGGTGATGCTGGACGCCAAGGACGTCAAATCACTATGTCTGTTTCCATCAGTCGTTGTTTTCCCTCGAGCTTCCTCGGAGTTGCGTACAGGGAATCACCGTAGGCGGAGTCCAAGTCTGCCGACCTCTGAATTGATATGGAAGAAGGTTAATTAGCAACAGCGCCCCAAGAGAGAGGTAGGAGGCACAGGGAAAACCTAGACCTACATCAACTTCGATGGACTGGTCTGCATCTATCTCCGCGGAAGGTTCAGGGTGTGAAGATGAGCTGGGTCCGGGGTCTTCTGGCAGAGGCTGGTCCGTCAATGGTGGCTCCGAGACCGGGACCACGGAGGAGGATGCTGTTCGATCCACAGAGGCTCCCGAGGCACCAGAGGGACCAGAGCTATGGCCTGGGGATGACATGGTCCATGAGTAGCCACCATTTGAGTGTGCTTCCTTCAGTGTCCGGAAAAACAGAGTGGGTGGTTAAAATGTGACGAACAGGAACATTTGACCGACCACACCCAAGGCGGCATTTCGAGACGTCAAGTAGTCGGTCGTACTTGCACGAGTATCGCAAGGAGCAGGATCCATTCTCGAGAAAAAGGGTCCATGGCGACTGCCAAATGACTGGTCGGTCATGATAATAACACTTGTAGTTCACTCAGAAATGCATGCAGTGAGAGGGGAAAAAACAATGCATGAGGAGCTTAAAAAGTGGTTCACGTTACAGATTTCCAGATGTGGAGACGACCAAGATAGAAACAATGATTCCGTGAATAAGCAAGGATGGTGATGGTGGTGGAGGAGGAAGACGTGGTGGTGGTGGTGGTGATAGTACAAAGAGAGGAGGAGTAGCCACATCGCTTATAAGGTTAAGCTGCTCATTATTGTGTCATTGTGTCTGTGAGAGTGCGCATAAGTATAGCTAGATGGTGGGCATAGGCATTGGTTGAATATGTGCTACCCTAAAACCCGGGCGGCCGGCAGGGGTCCGTCCCGAGCAGTCTGGGCAGTCTGGGCAGTCTAGGTGGTCTAGGCGTCAAGATCGACACCCAGTAGTGAAGTCCAGTAATACCTAGAACACCTAGCACGCCCAAGGCCTGGCCCTATGACTGTTTGTTTGTGCAACTCCCACCGAACTAGACACGCTAGACACGCTAGGCCCGTTAGACTTGCTCTCCTTGTAGTTAGAGGAGAGAAATGAGGAAGCACCTGGGATATTTTTCCGTCGACTTATTCCCCTCCATCCATCCACCTCATATGTACTCGTATCTCCTCCTCCATCTCCTCTCTCATGCATGAAACATCTCTACTTCGTTCAAGTATATCCTCCCTGCTGACGTGTCATGCAGCTCCTCCTCCAAAAAACACCAATCATCCCCCCAACCGCTATCACGAATTACCCTCGCAGAGATCAAATCCAGCACCCCTGTAACCCCCTCTCCATCCTACTCGTACCATTACCAGCTCACGCAGAACTAATCTGGACGATGCTCGGTCTCTATCCAATGCCAATGTCCAATATGCCCGCCCCCACGACATCGGCTACGAGTTAGATACTCAGATGACTGAATTTCTCACCTGATTTGGCCCAACGAGCTCTTGTCACATTTGAATAAAAACCTCGACTTGCTCGAATCAACCTGCACTCCCACCCTGTACCCGCCTCTCCCCCACCCATTTTCTTTTCTCCTTCCACGTCTGGGACTGATCTATTGATGGAAAAGAGTGCTTGCCTTCGTACATCTGCAGGATGACCGACCAGAAGAGTTCCGTTCACGTCCTCATTGTAGGCTCAGGTATGGTTGGGGGTTACTGGCGTCACGCGGTCTTCTCTCTTATAAACTCGGCTCGCCTATCGCCCAAGGCAACATCCCTGTCCATCCAGTATATCATCTGCCATGAAACAGGCTAACGGACTTTCAAAATCATCACGATGATGTAGGTATCGTCGGCCTTCTCATTGCACAGGGCTTGAAAAAGGTATAGAGAAAAATCTGAGCTGCATGACCATTGCCCGTGGGCCAAACACAAACAAACCCCCTGTTCAACTGACTGACAATCGAATACATGTTTGCCTTGCCGCTAGATTGGCATCTCGTTTTCCATCTTCGAGTCCGAAGTCTCTGCCACAGCCTACCGACCGCGCGAATGGGGTATGTCGGTGCAATGGGGCTTGCCCATGCTGGCCGACTGTCTGCCCCAAGACCTCTTCGACCGAGTCTACACCGCTGCCGTTGACCCGACCTTTGTGCCCCCTGACCCTGGTCATCTGCCCGCCATCAATGGCCAAACCGGGGAAGTGATGAAAAATATTCCGCTGCTGCGCATGTATCGCGTGTCCCGTCGACGGTTCAGGAAATTGTGCTCCGAGGGTATAGATGTTCAGGTGAGTCTTTTGGGGGGAACAGCACTACGTCTATTTGTTGCTGCTGCTACTTGACGAACTAACACCCCTACGTTCATCTTCAAGTACAATAAAAAACTCGTCGAAATCACATATGATGATGATCAGTCGACAGTGACAGCCACCTTCGAGGATGGGACAAAAGCAACAGGGACCTCATTGGTTGGAGCCGACGGCGCCCAATCCCAAGTGCGACACATCATATTTGGGCAAGACGGCCAACCCTGCGGCGTGCCTTATTCCGCTGTCAATCTGCATGTTTGTTACAACGACGCCGAGAAGGCCAGGTTCGTACGCCAGGCCCACCCCATCATGGCCATGGGCATGCATCCGAATGGGTATTGGCAATGGATTTCGAGTAAGCCTGCTGTGCCTTTTCCCCCGCAATTGTGTCACACAACCTAATCATCACGCATCTAGTCCAGGAGGTGCCGGATCCAAATGACCCCGCAACCTGGGTTTTCCAGCTCCAGACAACATGGCACAAGCAAGAGGGGGAGGAGGTGGCGTCGCTGGCCAACCTGAAGGCTAAGGCTGAAACCATGGGTGAGCCCTTCCGCTCCGCCAACCTGTGGATCCCTGAGGGCACAAAAGTCCACAGCAACAACCTGACCTACTGGATTCCCCGGCCCTGGGACACCCGTGGCGGCCGGATCCTGCTCGCCGGCGACGCGGCTCACCCCATGACCTTCCAGCGCGGCCAGGGCTTGAACCACGGCATCGCGGACGCGAGGAGCTTGGTCCTCAAGTACAAGGCCGCGCTGGCGGGAGAGACCACCTTTGAAGAAGCGGCGGCGGCGTACGTGGCCGAGATGGTGGACCGCGCGGGCGAGGAGGTTCGTCTGTCCAAGGAGAACACGGAGATGCTGCACGACTGGGAGCGCATGGCGAATTCACCCATCATGCAGCGAGGGGGGCATCCGAGGGGAGAAGAGCCCGGTGCATAAAGCCATCGATGGGACGGCGTTGTTCTTTAGTCCTTGTAAGGAGTGACGATGTGATGACCGGATTACTAGATAATGACCATCATTGAGATTCGGCGTAGAGATGTGCACACCTAGACGAGAACTGCATCCTGCACCTAGCGAAGACCTTCTTTACTAGGGAGTCCATGGGTATTTCAATCCTTTCAATGGGGCCACCACCATCCTTTTTCCAGCCCAGCTGACAGCCAAGCTGCCCAATAATGGATGCAGAACCCTGCACCACATGGCTTCGACTTTGACGTGTACTATATTCCTAAGTATGTATGCATGTACCCGCTCTTCTCTTCTCCAGGACTGGAGTAGGTGCCAGCACACCGCAAATAGTGGACAACGCCGAACTCGCGTATGCTAATGGCCACACCCCCCTAGAGGGTCGTGGATTTCTATCCCTCAAATGGACCTTTATTTTTCTGCATGTTATATCGTTTTCAACAGACTGACTGGCTGGCTGGCTGGCTGATTACACAATCGTCGGTCTAGAGTTCCATGAATTGATTACCCTTTGCTCGTCAAATTATGCCTGATCAGTGACTTACCTTGGTCCACACACACACACCACACGGCCTGGAAGCACTGAAGGAGTACCTCCTCCTGTTTCCCAGACACACACCGAGTCCTCACGCAAAATGTCAGCATCAACATACCGACCCGCGCCCGTCCACCTTGTGGGCAGTTTCCCAGCCCCGGACGCCACGACGGCATTGTGCAAGTGCGCCACCGCTCTGAAGGGACGTCTCGGGTCCATCCCCGACGGCGAACCGGGATGGCGGTGGAACTTCACCATCGGGCTCGTCCAGAAGAAGGCGACGGAGAACCCGGCCCTCGGGCAGATCTGGCGCGAGTACGATGAGAATTACGACCCGGTCCCGGTGGAAGAGATGGCGGGGGAGGAGGTCGCGCGGCTCCGTGCCGCGATTGAGCAGGCTTCGTGGGAGCTCGGGTACGCCGAGGACGCGGTCGCGTCGTACACGGTGTTTTGTAAGTTGAGGGACGAAGGGGCGGTGGAGGCGGGTGTGCGCTTCCAGGTGTGTTTGCCGGGGGTGTCGAGCTTCGCCATCTTCGTCAAGCCCGCGTTCCAGTACCTGGTCGAGGATCTCGCGTACCAGGCCATGTTGCGCGAGACCGAGGCCATCGTCGCGGCCATCCCGCCGGGGGATCTCGCCGTCCAGTTCGACATTGCGAGCGACTACATCAAGAACGAGGCCCAGCAGGACCCGTCGTCGTCGTACCTCGCCTCCCTGAGGGAGGATTTCCACCCACCTCCGAACGAGGACGCCATGGAGCGCTACTCCGCCCAGTACGCGGGCCTGATGGCGAAGGTCCCCGCCGCAGCCTTCGCCGGCTTGCACATCTGCATGGGCAACATCAACAACAAGCCCGTCCTGGCGCCGCGCGACATGTCTGTCATGGTCAAGCTGGCGAACCGCATCGTCGACAAGACCACGAGACAAATCCAGTGGATCCACTTTGGCTGTCTGGCCGAGTGGACGGACCCGGCTCCTTACGCGCCGCTCGCCGCGCTCCACGACAAGAACCTCGCCGTCTACCTCGGCCTCGTGTACCCGGACGATCTCGACGGCGCGAAGCAGCGCGTCGCAGCGGCGAAGCACCACCTGCGCGAGTTTGGCGTCGCCCCCGTGTGTGGCCTGGCCAGGACGTCCGAGGATGGTGTACAGTCAGTCCTGAGCATTCTGAAGGAGTTGACTCCGACTCCGACGGAGTAGGCGACCGGTGTCGTGTGAGGTAGAAATAAAGAGAAATGTCGGGTGTTTTTGGGGTTTTCTGTCTGGTTTTTTTCCTTTGTTCTGCTTTGCACTGCCTTACCTTGTCTTGTCTTGCTTTGACTTGCCCGGCCCCCAGCAAGCGAAGAATGGTGTGATATGATAGATTTTAGTACGTGTCGCGCGAAAAGAAAGAATCTTCTCCGGGTATCTATACCGAGAACGGCGCGTGGGTGGGATCAGCGCAAGGGAGGAGATGGCATGATGGCTAAGTTACACCCGGCACACTGGCTCACCGAGTGCTTCGAGTGCTAAGATATAGACTATTCGTCGAAAGACGCGTAGGGCATGCTGCGCGAGACCATTGAACACGTTGATCAAGGGTTGAGATGTCGATGCAGGATGCGTGGTTGTGTAGCTGCTAATTATTGTCGTCGTCGTTGTTGTTATTGTTGATGTTACTGCGGAGGCTGTCGAGGCCGGTTAGTTGGATGGCTGGCAAGTCGCAAGGCTGAGCGGCAAGCCGTGAAACGCGTCTCGCGACCAGGCGCGACTCTGGAAAAATACCTGTCTAAAGCACACAAAAACCAATCAAGCCCCTTTGAAAGGATTGCGTCGTTATAGATTGATTGCTCTTTATATATCTCGAGATCATTCATGACCTCTTCTTCTACCTTTCGGTTACGATGGCGGTGGTTCTAGATTTTCTAAAATGCGAGCCGTTCCTCAGGAGGCACTCCAGCACCAAGATATGTGAACAACGAATCGAATCAATTCAATTCGTCTTCAACGTCTTCTGCTTCTCGGCGTCCCTCCCAACACCCCTGGTACCTCTAACCAGGAGGCCCTTACGCCTGCGCACGCCGTCCACATAGCGTTTCGCTACGTTCTCCCGCTCGCCGTGCACGCCCAGGTCCTCCAGCTCCTCCTCGCTGCGGGGCACCCAGAAGGGGTCGACGTCGTCGACGACCTCGAAGCCGACGAACTGCAGCATCGGTTGCGCGAGGCCTGACGTCCGCTTGCGGATCTCCTCGCTGAACCCAAATGACTCGGCGACTGGTAGCGAGGCGCTGATGGTAAAGTAGGGCGTGCCCTCTAACAGAGCCTCGGACAGGATCGAACCTCGCCGCCGTGTGAGCACCGAGTACACCCGGCCCAGCACCTCCGGGGTCGCCTGGATCGTGCAGCTGTACATGGCCAGCATGATGCGTGGGGACCAGTCCAGGAACGCCGAGCGGATGGTTTCGCGTACCGACGTGATGAGTTCGCCCGTCAAGCGGCCGGACTCGACACCCGCCGTTGATGCAGGGTCACCATCTGCATCAGGATCGGTGCTGGTGCTTGATGCGGGTGGCTGCTGTTGCTGTTGGCTGATCTCTTCGAGGAAGACGGCAACGCCTTGCATCGGTTCGCGACACAGCGGGCCTTGCGAGGTGGCTAGTTGAAACGCGTATGCAATAGTATCCGAGAAATCTTGCTTCGACGATGACGAGGTTTCCACGCCATCGGCACTGTTGCCGTTTGTATCTTCTTCCCTCTCTGCAATTTCGTGCTGTTCAAACAAGAACCGCTTACAGGTTTGTTGTCCTGTCGCGTCGATGAACAGATTAGGCCCGACTCGTCGAGGACCAAAGCCACATATCCTGGGTACAACCTTGGCCCAGACATCTCTATCCTCTGTCACCTCGTCGAATGCAGCTTGAAGTTGATTTCGAAACTCTTCAAGTGAGAGATGGCTCCTTTCCCGCCCCCCAGCGTCGTTTCCTAGGTCGACTATTTCCTCTCTGTCAACATTCGAAGGATCCTTTGTAGTCTGTTCCTCCTGTGCTTGCTTCTCGGCGTAGAGTCTCCTGATCGATGCGCCGTTATTGATCAGGAACTCGGTCACATTTGATGGCAGAGGTCGAACCCTCAATCTGACCGAAACAGTCTTTGATGCAGTCACCGCGATCGCCGTCCCTCTAGGGAGGTCTTTGTTCTTCGGGGGTTCCATTTCTTCCGCCTTGACGATCGTTTCGCGGTATGGTACGATGGGTTCGCCAGGCTGAATGTCACACTTGGCAAATCGCTCCCGCAAGTCTTTGAGACACCGCTCGAGATGCAGCTCTCCGGCTGTTAGGATGACATGCTCTCCACTTTCCATCTGCTCATACACAGCACAAGGATCACTTTGTTCAAGCAATTTGAGTCCCTTGATCATCTTGTTCAGATCCATTGGATTCGTGGGTTCCAGAGCGACTCTGACGATAGGCTGACTGAGCGTCGAAACACCAGCCAGATTGATAGCTCCTTCAAGTTGCGAGCACAATGTGCCAGTCTTGAGGATGTGTCCCTCGAGCCCCTCAATCCCAAAGACAACTCCGGCAGGTACTCTATCCAACGGCTCTAAAGCCCGGCCCATGAGAAGATAGAGAGCTGTGATAGGCACCTTCTTCGGCTCTGGTGAGGCATGAGGAAAGGCTGGGTTGAATTTGGGTGGTAGGACGTAGACTTCGTCTCCCACAGAGAGCGACCCTGAATAAAGCCTGGCAAACCCGATCAAATGCTCTGGATCTTCCGGTTGCTCTGGTGTCGTACCCTCATCATTCTCCTCGCCAATCCTAACGGTACTGACTCCATTCGTTATACTGTCCACACCAGTTGCTCCTTCTGCCTCGGCCTGTGCTTTGGCAATTTCAGCGCGCTTCTTACGGGCGAGCTCCCTGGCTTCGTCGGCTGTCAAGGTGGTGCCCAGTTTTCGTCTCTTGGAGGGGAGTTCACTCTCGGGGACAGCAACCATCTTACTCACGTATGCCACCAGTGGTGCAGAGCTAGAAGTGTCAAAGTTGATCATAGAGTCTTTCAGAGACTGGTCAATGCTCTTTGCACTGACCAAATCCTCAATCATTTCGGGCAATCGACTTGCTTGGGCACTGGGCGGGCTTGGTAAGTATTCGATAACCGAGACGAGGAGTGCTGTTGAGAGTGGTAGCCATGAGGCGAAGACGGCTTGTAAGATGGCTTTGGAATCCCTCGACCTCGTAATGTGGGCAGGTAAACTGATCGAGAGAGACTTTGTTATCTTCTCCAGCAATGCTGGATCGCCCCGAGAGCCATTTATACCAACCGTGGCGTCGTAGGCTTGCCAGATAGGTTCCAAAACAAGTTGCACGAAGATTGGTTTCAAATTTCTTCCTTTCAGATGTTTCGAACCAAGTACCTTTTTGGTCTTGGGGTCCAGATAGAAGTCACCCCAGAGGAACTTTTCCAGAAGGGATCTTTTGATACCTAGCTTCTTTTCGTATATGCCCGCAAATTGACGGACCGTAAATGCCCAACCATCTATGGCACTCGCGAAGATGACATTGTTCTTCTCCGGAGCGAAATAGAGGTCCTCGTCATCGCGCTCCTCAAACTGTTGGTCCAGGTCCGCCTCGGACGCGGCCTCGCTCATGGCATCCTGCTTCTGCTGTTCTTTAGCCGCCCTTTCCTGGTCGAGCTTTTCTCTCCACATCAGATGCTCTTCCATGCGCTCGCCCTGGAAGAAGCCTCCGATGACGGCATTTACGCCTTCTAGGACTCTTTCCAGGTGGGAGTATGCCTCGGCGGGGGTCATTTTCAGTTCGGTCACGAGCCTGTCAATTTTGTTGATGACGAGTAAGGGCTTCAGTTTCTCGAGCCATACCTGTCGAAGCACAGTAACGGTCTGCGAGCACACGCCTTCGACGGCATCCACCAGGACCACTGCGGCATCGCATAGTCGTGAGGCCGTACTGACCTCCGACGAAAAGTCGATGTGACCAGGGCTGTCTATCAGGTTTATCAGGTATTCCTCCTTCTTTGCCTCTTCACCTTCCTTTTGCCTGCGCATCATACTAAAGTACAGACTGATGGCGCTGCTCTCCATGGTAATTCCACGTATTTGCTCGTCCGGCCGTGAGTCCAAATACCGCACCTTGCCCGCCATCTTCGGGGAGATAATCCCATTGGTCGCAATAAGCGAGTCTGTGAGAGACGTCTTGCCATGATCGACGTGTGCGAGGATACAGATGTTGCGGATATTTTGAGAGTTGGATTGAAGCGCGACCAGGCGCGAGGGTGGGATCGGGGGCATTCTCGCCCTAGCCTGCTGGAGAAGAGGTTGGACACGAAAGAGCAAGTAAGACTGCGACTCAGTCCCTTGAGTTCCTTACCCTATGCTTGCGAACATTTACCAGAGCGCAGTGCAATCCTGGACGCTGGGTACCGTGGGTGGGTGAGTGGGTGGGTGCGGGAAGAGGCGCACAGAAAATCAAAGTATGACGCACACTTGCCGCCCTACAAATACTTAGTTCCTGGCTAGCCCTGCGATTGTCGAGTCATGCGAGACGGAGTAGGTCCGAACCCTAATCAGGAATAATATGATGCCGCCCTAATGCGTGCTTTCAAGAGGTCAATCCCGGCGCGTCTCATAATGTTTTTGACTCTTCGAAGTCTTCAACGGTCAGAAGTGCAGCCGGGGTCTGTGAACATGCAGACAAGCAATCTCAACCCGGACACACTCAATAATCATCGAGGGTAATCAACTCTACGGCCGAGAACAATCTAGTGTTACCGCGAAGTTATTGTCAACTTGATACTTTCACTCTCGTAGAAATGTCCGGGTCAGCGTTTCCAGGCCTCTCCAGTTTATTTGTGATGCACTTGATACGCGCTAAGACACCCTTGCTCAGCATTGATAATGAAAAGCAAGCAAATAAGTATCGATGGTTGGCTAGGAGGACATCCGCATCTTAGACCGCCATGCAGAATGTAACCCTGGTATATGGCCAGGGATGAATCCCCCTCTCGCGTAGAATGCTTGGATATTCTAGAGCGCGCCACAACTCAATGAGCCGGTTGGCCGGTTGGCCGGTTGGCGGGGGATGAGGCATGTCGATGCTTCGGATAATATCGTCGCTGCTGGCTGCTCGTCCTGGGTTAACGAGATTTGCAATCGCGGAAAAAAGAGGTTCCGTGGCTGATGTATACTTCCTCACCTCCTC